ATAAGGGGCTAATAATAGGCATTTCGAATTAAAAAAGCCTAATTTTTATTGATATCGCCTTGCGCAAACTGAAAAGAAAAGAGAAAAGAAGGTGCGGGTCGTCGGGTCAAACCCTGGATCTGAACCTGGTACGTCCCTACTTCCCAATTCAAACTTGCGTGAACTTACTGGCAATTCCTATGCGTTCTCAATGATTCTGGTTCGTCCACTACTGTCCCCAGTGCCAACCCCATCCCCGCGACGGTTCCAAAGCACCAAGCTGCACCCAAGTGACGTGCCCGTGTAACCTAGACTAACATATAGGCACTTTAATATAATCGCAAGTAGCCTATGCAAATCAAATGTTACTTTTCAAATTATTTCCTTGTTGTGTGTCCTTGATTAATGTCTTGGGTTTGACTTGGCATGGAGTTTTGAGAAAGAAAATTGTGTAACTTAGATTTATCTACAAAGAAAAGAAATGTCAACCTCACAACTCTATCATAAAGGAAAGATGAACATTGTGTTGGAACAACCCAAAAAGGAAGGAAGATATTAAAGGGGATGGAATGAGATCATAGTTATTTAAGGCGTGATGCGCACTGATGCACAAATGGCTTCTAGCGCCTTGATGCGCGATGCGCAAAAGAAGCGAGTGCATCACGAACATGATGAGCATATGTAGGCACCAGTGGATTCTTCCATATTATAACAATGTGTTTGAAAAAATCACTTAAAAAACAAAAGTTTTATAAAAAAACAGAGCAGTATGTTTGGAAAAAAAAAAAGAGAAGTGGTGTACATCTAAAGAAAATAAAGAAAACCAGTGAAGAATGAAAAAATTACCATAACTCAGGTAACTGCTTGTGCGACATGCCTCGTAGGTGTGCGACTTACCGTAACCAATTAAGAACGTGTGCTTCTTGCGACTTAGAAGGAGGAAGAGTCGAAGACAGTGGAAGAAAAGAAAAGAAAGAGAAAAGAGAGTTGTTTAATCTTGTAAGAGAACCTTTATGCCGTTTAATTTCGTGGGGGTCATAAAAGGTGAGGCGGCATAAATAATAACACTAATCCTTACACCTAATCTTTAAAAAAACTTAAATTAAAATTTCTTCCCAATGCGCACCTTTTTGCACATCGCTATATTGTGCATAATAAGACGAGGCACACTAAGGCGCGCACCTCATGAACAGTGCGCACACCAGGTTTGGTGATGCACTATACCTAGCGCATCGTGCACATCGCACCTCAAACGCGCTTTTCACAACTATGAATGAGATACTCCCTCTGTCCCGCAAAAGCATTCCACGTGATTTGGCACGAAGATTAAAAAAAGTGAAATTGTGTGGTTGAAAGTGGTGTAGACAAGAGAGAGAAAATATGGGCCACAATTTTTTTATAAAAGTGGAAAGTGGAACCTTTTTGGGGCGAAAGAAAAAGGAAATGTAGAACCTTTTTGTGGGATGGATGTAGTATTGTTTTACTTAAGTTGTCGATCAAACTATCTGTAATTCCCTTTGTCCTATTTTATTTATTCTACTTCCCACTTTATTTGTCCCAAAAAAATGTCAAGTCTCCTAATTTAAGTATTTAACAAACCACAACTTTTTAGTTTCTACTTCCGAATAAGATTTTCCTCTCAATTTTCTAAAGGATTTGGAGCTAGTGGGAGTATAATATATGAATCTGGATAAAGAATGTAAGAAATGAAAAGATACAAGTAGAAGAGGTAATTCAATCTTAGAATGGGATAAAGTGATTTTCAAGAATTTTTCACTGGAAACTACGGAAGTTTTTCTCACCAATATCTTTAATGTAGCATCCATTATTCCACAGTATCCCTTTTTTTATCAAAGGCATTTACTATTCTAGGCAAGCAAAGCCTGCAAATTGCAGATTTCATATCTCTTTGTTTCCTTAATATCCTACCCAAACTAATATAGAGCAAAAAATTATGTCAACATCCACAACTTCATAGTTCATTCTAAAGTAACATATGTGCAAAGCTTATAACCTTTTTTCATCTCTTAATAGGTCCACCGGTAACTACCAGTTACTACATATCCAAGATCAAAGGTATAAGAACAAGAATTGCTAATACCTAATACATGTGACCTAAGAGGCTAAGAGCAGAAACTACAAAATTGCATCACCTACAAAAGATCCCCAAATGATTAAACATTTAATCTCCTACATTCCAATAAGAGAACACCTTTTAGCAGTTCAAGAACATTCGGGATAACAAGGGCAGGTAGCTACTAGCTAAACTGGTGTGAACCCAGGACTAAACGTAAATGCTACTGGCTAATGCACCACTCAGAATGACCACTGGTGGTTTACTACATAGTAAACTTCAGCAATAGTGCGGGATTAGTGGACCGAAATAGTCATCACTCCGTACACGCACTATATATACACACACACACTCCTTCCGTCCCAGATTAAACATCACTCCTTTTTCATTACTTCCAAAACAAACTCTTATTCCCTTTTAAATAACAAAATACATGGCTCACAGCATTTCTCATTCCTAAACATATTCCAACCTCACACTTTCCAAGTGTGTGTCACACTCTACTTGAACTACGTGACCAGTCACACCGGGAAGAGGGAGTATAAATACATGTACATTTCTCATAAAGAAGATGGTTCATGAATCAAATGTGCATATCATAAAATAAATTGAAAATGGGCAAATGAAAAAGTGCTTTGGAAGAATTGGTTGAATACACATAAACCTAAACAAACACATCACGTTTGGAGGAGGATGGGAGGAAAAAGGCTTACGCGATGATCAAATTCAGCTCCTGCGAACCAGTAAAGTTGCCGACACATGAATGGGTGACGTTGGTCGGCTTGTGAGCAGTCACAACATAGTTCCAGATACTCATCTCTCCCCGACTTTGAATGTCTGCAACTCTCAAAACCCTAGAAACCCCTCTCTTGCCCTCTCGCTGGTATAGACGATGGACGGGACGAGTTTGTAGTAGAAGGCAGCTGGGAGGAACCCTCAAGTGTTAGTCGACGCCCCTGTCCGCCGGAGCAACCTTACCGAGACTCCGATGAGAGTGACCTAGACTCGATGGAGTTTGATATTAGTACTTTTATTTAGTTGCAGGACAGCTTCCGGACCAGGGGGAACAATAACCAGAACCGGGTTGTATGGTCGTTTTCCGTTCGGGTTTTATGGATTTATTTTTCCTCTTTTTTGAGAAATATAAACAAAAATAATTATTAATACTTAAGCAAAATCCCTAAATAGGAATAAAACATGTGTCATATCTTTATAATAGGAGTTTAAACTTAAACTTCACTAAATATAACTAATTAAATAAGTTATAAGTGATGTAGATGCTAATGTTATTCGATCAAATGAGGGAGCGAGAACTTGGTCGGCAGTGCAGCTTATGTGGGTTGAAGACGCTGGTCTTCTGTGGGTTGAAGACGGTTGCTGCAAACCCAGCTATATACTACATACATACATGAGATTTTAAATGTTAACTGCAAAATGTCAAAAATGAACAAATACACATGGATAGATGTAATATTTCTTGTTTTTTAGTTGCCAACTCATACTTAATTATTAATTGCTTAATTAACGTTTTAAATATCAAGTTTTTAGTTTAGTTGAAAATGGCCGGATAAAAATGTGAATATGTACTACTTCCGTCTATAAGTATTTGTCCAGCTCTGACTTTTTGCAGTCAACTATTTTAAACCTTCCGTCTAAAATTAAATAATATATGTATGAAATATTAGTAAGATAACACAATTGTTGAAAATAGATTATAAAATAAATCTAATAAAATTATTTTTGTAATGATATCTAATATTCTTTTAATTATGGTCAACGTTTACCAAATTTGACCGAGAGAAGTCAAAAATGGATAAATACTCAAGAATAAATTTAGTAGAATTTTTGGAATTCATTTTTAAAATTCTGGTGTATTAATGTGTCACCACAATTTTTTTTAAGTATTCGTGTAAATGTTTCTAAAAAATATACTCCCTCCGTCCCCCTAAGATCTTCTCGTTTTGACTTTTTGCGGTTTTTAATGAGAGTTGAAAAAAGGTGAAAGTTTACCAAAATACCCTTAATGAAAATGGGTGAGGTGTATTAAATAAGGTGGAAAAAGTGTAATAAATAAAGTAAGTGGGGGTAGTTGAGGTATTTTAAATGTTAAAAAAGGTAATGAGAAGATCTATGTGGGACAAATAAAAAGGGCTAATGGGAAGATCTATGGGGGACGGAGGGAGTATTTAAAAAATCACAAGACTCAAAAATTAATACTCTATTAAAAAGAAGTAAATTAACATTAATAATTTTACAATCAATTAGTTAATGGATAGAGTCAGGGAGCGCCATTTTGTATTTTCTCAAAGTTGAAGCACTACAAGAAAATTGCTTATCTGCAATGGAAAAAATTTGTTAATCCATGTGGCAGCAATTCAATTGAGGGGCATCCATACCCATCCATTTGCAAAGGCACCATAGAAAATCACTTGTATAAGAAGTACTAAAAAAAGAGTTATTTATCTAAATAGGACTAAAACATAATGACTTTCTTAATATATAACCATATGTTTTTATTTTCTAATGTAGGACAATTGATCATTATCTATTAGTCATTATTTAACTAAATGTCCAACATCATTTGAACATTATTCATCTCACTAGTTATTATTAAGTCCTATTTAGGGAATAAAATATTAGATTCTACCAGTAACCTTTTAATGTTTATTTTCTTTGCAAATTCTTGAGACTAACCGATAAAACTAATCCATAAAGTTTATTAGTTTTGATTTTAGATTCTACCAAGAAGACTAATTATTAAGAGAGAAATGATAATTTCAGTTTTGGATTTAGAGCTTCAAACTCAACGACGAATTTGGGAAAAAGTACGAGACGAGGAAGGAAATTTAATTGAGGAGAGAGAAGTATGAATGTATATTTTTATCCGTATTCTTAACAAAAACGTCTAAAAAAGACTATTCGTAAAAAATGATATAATAATTGAGGACTAAATTAGTAATATTTGATATGTAGAGACTGAATACGTAAAACTTTCTCCAATTTAATCTATTATTTATAACCTAGGGTTCCGTCGTCCACTCGTCCCTTCCGTCCAAACTCGTTCAGGTAGGAATGGCTTTTTTTCAGAAGTCTGGTTTCCTTTTCTGGGTTCGCTTTGGTGCCGTTCTCTAGTTTTTTTTTTAATTTCTGCAGTTCAATTTGACCATTTTTTCTCAAAATCTCTAGTTCGGTTTAGGTTAGTTTGGATCTTCGGAAGATACACTTGCTCCTCAATTTTCATGCAATCATGTTCATAAACTAATCACAATAATGGTTATCCATTCTAAATTTTTAATAAAATCATATATTGATGAAATGTGATAATTTTGGGGCTATTGCGGGGAAGTTTATTGATGTAATGTACTCCCTCCGTCTCACAATTAGATTAACAATTTGAAGAAGAAAATTTTTGCAAAATGAAAAGTGTATGGTTGAAATTTGTTTAGAACGAAGAGAAGCCTTGCAATTCACATATTTTTTTTTCTTGAAAAGGAAAAAGATTATGTGTTTTTTTTATAGTGGTATTACGGAATATAGTAATTGAGTAATCTAAGCAAACAAAAAAAGTAAAGACACACATATTTAACGTGGTTCACCAATGTTGTGTTCGCTACGTCCAGAGGCAAGAACGGAGGCGGATTGCCCCCGTTTCCTCATTTGCGTAGCGGCAAACAGATTCAAGGCACATTAACATATAGGTTAAGACACAAGGTTGTGTTTGGTTGGAGGATAGGGAAGGGAAGGGAAATCCTCAATTGGCTAAAAACCTTTGGAGGTGGAGAGCCTAAATTTTCTCTCTTGCCTTAAAATGTTTTGAGATATGAACCAAATGAAGGGAGGGGAGCACTTGCCATCCTCTCCAACCAAACACTCCACAAGAGAAATGAGGGTTGTGTCACTTTGTGTTCTTTACTTTTACACTTTGTTTGGTTTGTGGAATTTGAAAGGAAAAGAAAAGAAAGATGTTTTCTCTCCTTTTCCTCGTCAAAACGGAAGGAAAATCATTTTCCTTCTTAGTACATTTTCTCCCCCCCCATCTTCTTTTCCTTCCACAATTCTTTTGTTTTTCTTCTATAACTGAACAAGAAGTGCAGGTTGAGCCGGGGGTCTCTTGGAAACAGCCTCCCTACTTTCGAGTAGGGGCAAGGTCTGCGTACACACACCCTCCCCAGACCCTACTGTAGTGGGATTCAACTGGATTGTTGCTTGCTTGCTATAACTGAACAAGAAAATTAATTTTCCATATCATTTTCTTTTCTTTTCCCTTTCAATACCTAGAACCAAACATAGTGCTAGTTTTGATCGGAATTTTCATTGCAGATTTCCCACACAGTTTTCTTCACCTGCATTCATTAAGACCATTGTTCTGTTTTTATCTTTTCTGTTTTCCTTCATCATTTCCTGATTTTTTGGTAAATAGCTTATCCTGTTTGGTCCCAAGAAGCGCTTATACAAAAACTCTACCGCCTGCCCTCTTATTGGAAGAGCTTTTATCTGTCTTTCCCAAGCAAATCAAACAAACAACGTTTTTACAGATTTTTTCCTACCAAACAACTTAGCTTTTTTTTATGATGCTGTATCAAATAGACAATACAATCATCTATTCATCTACTGCAGACAAGCCTCAATCGACCCTGATCATTTAATAATTACTTGTAAATGTTTGCTTTTGTTTTCACATCTTTTCTGTTGCATTTAATAATTACTTACATAAGTCTTGACCCCTAGACTCAATGGAGTTGGGATTATACTTGGTTTGTTGCTGTTATATTTTCTGTTGCAAGTTGTGTGCTATTACTAACTTTTAACCATTCTTCTCCAGACAGAGTTTCAAAGGACACACATGTCTTCAAAAGCCAATGACAAGATTCTCAGCTACAATGATGTTGTACTAAGGCGCTCGGATCTTGACATTCTTAGCGGACCATATTTTCTAAACGACCGAATAATCGAGTTCTATTTCAGTTTTCTCGCCTCGAGATTCCCATCTGAGGATGTTTTACTGTTGTCCCCGTCGATCACTTTCTGGATCAAAGAGTGCAGAGACACTACAATGCTTAAGGATTTCATAGAACCCCTCCGTCTATCTCAAAGGAAATTAATCATCTTCCCAATCAATGACAACTCGGACGTGGATTTAGCCGAAGGGGGAAGCCATTGGAGTTTACTTGCTTTTGAGAGGGGCTCCAATGTGTTTGTCCATCACGATTCCATCTCGGGCTGCATCAACAAGAATGACGCCAGACATGTCTACGAAGCCGTTCTCCCTTTTACAGCATCTGGAATGGCTACTTATGTTGATTACTCAGGGACACCGAAGCAAGAAAACTGGTATGATTGTGGGGTATATGTCCTTTCCTTTGCAAGGGTCATTTGTGATTGGTATGGAAGCAGAGGACCGGAGGAAGGAGTTGATATGTGGTTTCCCTCCTTGAAGGAACAGATAAATGCAGGTGCTGTTTCGGAGATGCGCGACGAGATTCGAAGGTTAATTGTTGATCTAATGGCGAGGAAGTAATTACCAGAGATGCCATTGTTAATACAGATCATAGAATTGCAATGGATTTGTTTGCTTGTTGTTGTTGTTGTTGTTTCACCAGGATGGTAAATAAAATTGGTTGCCTCCATCTAATCAGTTATCATTTCATCTTCATTTTGCAAGGGGTTGAAAATTCTTATGGAGGATAATAAAGAGGAATTCTGTCCAAAAATTAAAATCCAAAAGAATTGTAATGTTTTACAGTTGAACAAGTATTTTTGCCAACAAGTAGCAAATATTGAATAGTTAGTTGAGTTATTTTACATAAATCAATTATGACGGTGCCTAGTGTTTAATACTCCCTCCGTCTATAAAGAAATTTTCCGTTGCGCGTTGCGATGTTTGACTGAAGTTATTTTTAAATTATTTTATATAAAAAATGGTGTAAAATTTTAAAAATAAAAATTACATATTAAAAAATTATATCAAAAGATTTACAAAACTAAAGGTGACATGACTATGTTATTTTATCAAATGAGTAACAAAAATAGGTCAATAAAATAAATAAAGTTTGATTCTGTGAATAGTAAACAAAAAATTTATTTGTGCACCGAGAGAGTTTAGAATATTGAATTGAATTATAATCTCCATCTATTATGCCATTTTGTAGCTGTGTTATATGATGCCTGTTGGGAGTGAAGAATTGGAGCTTAAAACAACCCAAACTAAAAACTCAAAACAAAAAGTAACGCCTTGGTTACTTTTTTTTCATTTGACTTTTCACAAACAAAAACATCATTTCCTAACAAGCCGTAATATTTATTTAAAAACAATGTTAAGCTCTAACGTATTCATAATTTATCCACACGAGGGAGTATTTGAAAACGCAATTCCCGAACAAAGACATAATATTTATCTAACAACAATGTTTAGCTCTAACATATTCATTATTTATCCGCACAACTAAAAAGCTAATTGAAAATGCAATTCCCAAACAAAGCCGTAACATACAAAGTACCAAAATCAATCCACTGCCATTTAAGGCTGTTGAATGTAAGCTTCGCTTGTTTCCCAAACAACAGATATCATGGGCTTAGCTAGACATCACAAAGAAATGGAAGCAATAATAAACTCATCAACTCTTCTATCTGTTCTAGAAAAGCCTCAATCTGAGTTTGAATTTTTTTCCTACCTCAGGAAATTGGAGCATGAAGTTGAACTTACAGACAAGGCAAACAGGGAAAAGAACACGGAACACCAAATTCTGGAATAAACTGATCCTTCAACATCCAGTCGTTTTTCCAAATACATCACAGTCGGTTCATCAAGAATGCCACAGAAGACAGTTCTATTTGTGGGTCTCTCTCGATCCGGTTTCTTTGTCGCTTGTTGTCTATGGCCATTATGGATTGGGAAAAAGTGTCTTGGTAGAATGCGGTGAAATAAGAGGTTGACCTGCTCTGGATTGACCCCAAAGAACAGCACGAGTGTCTCTAAAAACATCAATTTCTTTGGGTGTAACGTCGGAAGACATCAGAGCTTCTTCTCTCAAACCGGAACCATGTTTGTATGCTTTCCATAGAAGGTAATATGCAGCAAATGAAACCAAATATGTGGCTATCATAAAAGCCCATAGTCGTGGACTGTTTTTCTGCAAACACGGGTGTAGCAAATTAGAAATGGCAATACACAAAACTTACTCACCAGGCACACAAGCCATAAGAAACTTACTCCAACATACCTAGATAGATAGCTTATAGAGCTCGGTGGAAGTCTCTTCACCGGTGGCATTGCCAAACCTCACACTATGAGCACTTGAAGCAAGAAGTACTGGAAGTAAAACAAGTCCTGAAATCACCAATGCCCCGGAGGCAGGGCTCCATTCTCTCTATTAATGATTCAAGTTCTGCATTCCAAAATCTGAACTTCATATAAACTCAACTATTCCCCCCCCCTGTTTACACGGGCTGCATTATATAGTGTTGTGGTTGTGGTAGTAATAATGTATATTGAGTGAAAGCCATGAACTCTTCTACGTGTTCCAGAAAAGTCTTAATCTTCATTTGAAAGTAATTGCTACACAAGGAAATTGGAAAATATAAAAAGAAAAACGTGAATAAGAAAAAACAGTGAATTGTCGAATGCTCAAATAAAACCATGGGATGTTTGCAGTGTAGTAATGGTAGAAAGAATTGCAGTTGAGCTTGTCAATGGCTAAATAAGGAAAAGGACACAGACACCCCCATAGCTGCTAACACACCAAATCCGGGATTGAAGTTGAGATGGTTGCCAAACATGCTTATGATTCCCATACATACTATTACACAGTGGCTCAGATTGCATTTTTCCTATCAGCAAAACAGGAGCACAACCTAACGTGGCTGCAAGAAAGTAACTGTCTAGCCATTCAAGCACCCAAGCCAAGATACAAAAATGATAATCACTACATCAACTTCAAAAATCATGGTTTCAGTTATACTGGTTATCTCATACTCCGTAGTATTAATACAGATATCGTCAATACTTTCAATGTCTAAGAAGAACCAACGGGTGTTTACAATCCTATGTTTTTTACTCAGAGATCTAAAAATTCAAAAACAATATAAGAACAATCACAACAAACAAACCCAGTAAAATCCCGCAGAACTTACCCTAACTAGTAAGTAGAGAGACTGATTTAAACGAAAAGAAATGCCTTCCGGCTTAAATGCATCTTAGTATATGAGGCTCAGATTACAACCGGCCATGGCTGCAACTCTGCAAGAAGACAACTGCCTCGCCAAGATGTAGGCCGCCTCGCCCGAGAGATCTGATTATTGCATCTAAAGAAACTCTGTAGCAAGATTATCATCACAGCCTCAACTTTGATACATTAAGGTTTCAGGCATTCATCCATTCAAGTTATCCAAAAACTCGGCACAACTGAAATTGATTAACATTATTATACTCCCTCCGTCTCTTAAATAGATTGCATGAATGCAATGTAATAGACGAAGGACCAAAATTGATCCATCGCTATTTAGGGCTGTTGAATTTAAGCTTCACTTGTTTGGGAAACTAAAAAGATATCATGGGCTACACTAAACAACACATAGAAAAGGAAGCAACCACCCTCTAAAACTAATCCACTTTTCTGTGTCCCAGATAAGCCTCAACTTGCATTATAAGCTGGTTAAAATTGCTTATAAGCAGTTTTTAACTTATAAATCAGCTGATAAACTGACTTATAAGCTGACTTATAAGCCATAAAAAATAAACTGACTTAAAATTGCTGATAATCACATATTTTTGCATGCTTATAAACTGACTTATAAGCTGCTTATAAGCCAGAAAAAATAAATTTTAGCTACTTATTTCTAAGCCAATTTCTTTCTCTGTTTTGACCAGACAAAGCCGACCCTCACCATTTATGTATATTTACCAATGATTTATCTATCATTTAAGTCATTTTACTTCAACGAAAGAATACATGACTTCTAACAGCTTATAAGTTAAAAACTGCTTATCAACAATAAGCCAATAAGCACCATCATAGAGAAACACCCCCTTAAATGAAATGAAATACATTCTGACTTAAATGCATCTCAGTACATGAGGCTCAGATTACATTTACTATATCGGGAAAAGAGCACAGGGCAAAGGCAACACCAGCCATGGCTGCAAGAAGACAACTGCCTTGCCAAGATGCAGGCCGCCTTGCCCCAGAGATCTGATTTTTGCATCTAAACAATAACAGGATTATCATCACAGCCTCAACTTTGATACATTAAGGCTCTGTTTGGTACACATAATTCAAAGTATGGAGTTCGAATTGAAGACAAAAATTCCAATTCTACTATTTGGCAGCACAAAAATATGTGGATTTGCAATTAGTAGTGCCAAAAATGAATTAGAATGGGAGAATTCAATTCCATCCAAATCAATTCCATTGAATTTCAACTTTAAATTCCATTTCAATTCCCTCAATTCCGTGTATCAAACGGACCCTAAGGTTTCACGCATTCAACTATTCAAGTAATCACAGCAGCTCAGCACAACTGAAACTGAAGATTATGGAAGAAGATTGAATCAATTAATAGGAAACCATGGAAATATTTGGGATATAGTTGCAAAAAAATGCAGTTCAAGAACATGCAAACAGGGGGGAAATACTGACCGCCAATCCGACATGGCTGCAATTGCACACGCCAAGATACGGGTCAGGTCACCCTAAATGCCGGTCCACTCGCTCACAGAAATAAAAGGTCATCACCGCTGATTCAGCGCCAACCACCACCACCATCGTCACCTCCAGAAAAGACCCGAATAAGTCTGAAATATTCACCTCAAAAACGTGAATATGAAAAAACAGTGAATAATCAAATAGAAAGCCAATGGAAACCATGGGATGTTTGCAGTATAGTAATGGTGGAAAGAATTGCAGTTGAGCTTGCGAACGGGTAAATAGGGAAAAGGACATGGACACCACCATGGCTGCAAACACACCAAATCCGGGATTGAAGTGGAAATGGTAGCCAAACATGCATTTGATTCCCACACATACTATTACACAGAGGCTCAGATTGTATTTTACCTATCAGCAAAACAAGAGCACAACCTGCCATGGCTGCAAGAAACTGTCAAGCCGTTCAAGTGCCCAAGCCAAGATACAAGAGGTCCCAAATTCAGTTTTCATTATGAAATATCAAAAAATGATAATCACTGTATCAACTTTGAAAATCATGGTTTCAGTTATACTGGTTATCCCATAATTTCAATTAGGTCAATACTTTCCCAATCAAAGAAGAACCAACAGGTGTTTTCAATCCGTAGAATTTTTAACCATATACGGAGTACAACACAAACTACAAGAACAAGCAAACCCAGTAAAATCCCTTAGAAGTGGAGGATGTATTTATGCAAAACTTACCCTAACTAGTAAGTAGAGAGGCTGTTAAGAATGAAGAGTGAAATGCTTTCTGATCTAAATGGAATGAAATGAAATGCCTTCCGACTTAAATGCATCTTAGTACATGAGGCTCAGATTACATTCACTCTATCAGAAAAACAGCACAAGGCACAGGCAAACCTAGCCATGGCTGCAAGAAGACAACTGCCTCGCCAAGATGCAGGCCACCTCACCCTAGAGATCTGATTTTTGCATCTAAAAAATACTCCGTAAAAGATTATCATCACAGCCTCAACTTTGATACATTAAGGTTTCACACATTCAACTATTCAAGTAATCCCAGCAACTCAGCACAACTGAAACTGATTAAAAATATAATAATCCCTCCGTCTCTTAAATAAATTGCATAAATGCAATGAAATAGACGAAGGACCAAAATCGATCCATCGCCATTCAGGGCTGTTGAATTTAAGCTTCACTTATTCAGGAAAATAAAGATATCATGGGCTAAACGGAACTACACATAGAAAACGAAGCAACCACCCTCTGAAACTAATCGCCTCTTCTATGTGTCCCAGAAAGCCTCAACCTGCGTGAGGAAATTGAGAGAAACTCATTTTCTTTCTTTTTCTTCCAAATTCCTTGAACCAAACATATTGTAAATAGGAAACCATGGAAATATTTGGGATGTAATTGCAAAAAAAAATGCAGTTCAAGAACATGCAAAGACGGAGGAAAGACTGACACCGCCAACCCGCCATGGCTGCAATTGCACCAAATCTGGGTGTTATCGGGTTGCTGCCACGCCAAGATACGGGTCAGGTCACCCTAAAGGTCGTTCAATCCGCTCCCAAGAAACAAAATATAATCACCGCTGATTCGGCACACACCACCACCACCGTCACCTCCGGCAAAGACACAAATAAGTCTGAAATGTTTGTATGTACGGGAGTAATTTGTTGATCTCGAGGGTTGTTGACTGCAAATTCGAAGGGGACATGTCCCCTCCCTAAAGTAGAGATGGAGGCAACCGCCCTTAAATGAAACCTAAATCTAAGATCTGCTCTTCCCAATTCTTACTTCTTCCCTGTTCTCTTTTATAGTGCACTCTACAACAATTAGGCCTTGTTTGGATGGACAGGTTTAAAATTCAAAAATATAGGAGCAAAAATTGCAACATATAGTGCACTATATTCTTAGGAACAAAAACAAGAGGAACAAAATTAAAAATATTGCTTTATTTTTCACGTATATCACACTCCTTCCGTCCCACAATTGGTTAGAATTTTTCTATTTATTTTTTTCACCTCTTGTTTAGCAATTCCTCCGTCCCTGAAAGGTTTCCCTTATTGACTTTTTGGGAAATTAATGGAGGGATATTTTTGTGTTGACTTTTCAAAAATACCCATGATGTAATGGGTAAAAGTAAGATGTGATGGATAGATTATTAGTAAAAAGTATGATGTGATAAGTATGGTATGAAAAAGTAAGGGATAAAAGTGATTTTTTAATAGATAAGGTAACATCTTTTGGGGACAACGAAAAAATGAAAGAGGAAAATCTTTTAGGGACGGAGGAAGTAAAAATTTTGATGTAGTTTTGAATATTTCAGTTTTTTTTGGAAAATATAAAAAGAAAAACTTGGATATCAAAAAACAGTGAATAGTCGAATACAAGGCCAATGGAAACCATGGGATGTTTGCAGTGTAGTAATGGTAGGAAGAATTGCAGTTGAGCTTCCAAAAGGGTATAGAGGGAAAAGAATACAAACACCACCGTGGCTGCAAACACTCCAAATCCGGGATTGGAGTTGAAATGGGTGCCAAGCTTTCCATACATACTAGTACACAAAGGCACATATTGTATTTTCCCTATCAGCATAGCAAGAGCACAACCTGCCATGCCTGCAAGAAAGTGACTGTCAAGCCGTTAAAGCACCCAAGCCAAGATACAAGAGGCCCAAATCTAGTTTTTTATTATATACGGAGTAATAACAAAAAATGCTCATCACTGTATCAAGTTTGAAAATCATTGTTTCAGTTATACAGGTAATCCCATAATTTCAATAATGGTTTCTGCCTTTCAAATTTTTAACCATAGATCGAAAAATTAAAGAATGTTAGAACAACAAGCAAACCCAGTAAAATCCCTCAGAAGTGGAGTTTGTATGTAAGCAAAACTTACCCTAACCAGTAAGTAGAGAGGCTGTTAAGAATAAAGAGTTAAATACCTTCTCATTTAAATGAAATGAAATCCCATCTGACTTTAATGCATCTCAGTACATGAGGCTCAGATTACATTTACTATATCAGAAAAACAGCACAGGGCACAGGCAAACCCTGCCATGGCTGCAAGAAGACAACTGCCTCGCCAAGATGCAGGCCGCCTTGCCCTAGAGATTTGATTTTTGCATCTAAACAATTATAAGATTATCATCACAGCCTCAACTTTCATACATGGAATTCAAACTATGGAAATTGAAATGGGGACAACAATTCCAATTTTGTTGTTTGGTAGCACAAGAATATGTGGATTTGGAATTGGTAGTGCCAAAAATGAATTGGAATTGGAGAATTCAATTCCATCTAAATCAATTCAATCGAATTACAACTCCCAATTCAATTTCAATTACGTCAATTCCGTGTACCAAACGGACCACACATTCCACTATTCAAGTAATCCCAGAAAGTCAGCACAACTGAAATTGATTAACCATATAATACTCCCTCCGTCTCTTAAATAAATTGCAGAAATGCAATGCAATAGACGAAGGACCAAAATTGATCCATCGTCATTTAGGGCTGTTGAATTTAAGCTACACTTATTCAGGAAACTAAAGATATCATGGGCTAAACGGAACTACACATAGAAAAGAAAGCAACCACCCTCTGAAACTAATCACCTCTTCTATGTGTTCCAGAAAAGCCTCAACCTGTGTGAGGAAAATGAGAGAAACTCGTTTTCTTTTCTTTTCCATTCAAATTCCTTGAACCAAACATACATATGAAACCATGGAAATATTTGGAATGTAATTCCAAAAAAAATGCAGTTCAAGAACATGCAGAGAGTGGGGAAAACAATGACACCGCCAATCCGCCATGGCTGCAATTGCACCAAATCAGGGTTTGTCGGTGTGCTGCCACGCCAAGAAACGGGTCGGGTCACCCCTAAATGCCGGTCAACTCGCTCGCAAGAAATAAAATGTCATCACCGCTGCTTCGGCGCCCCCCACCGCCACCGCCACCTCCGGCAACGACCCGAATAAGTCTGAAAAGTTTGTACGTACGGAGTAATTTGTTGATCTCGAGGGTTGTTGATCCCAAATTCGAAGGGGACGTGTCCCCCGCCTAGCGTAGAGATTGAGGCAACCGCCCTCGTATGAAACCTAAATCTCAGATCTGCTCTTCGTCATTCTTACTTCTTCCCTGTTCTCTTTTATAGTGCCCGAACTAGGGGTGGACACGGTACGGTTCCGGGACGGTTCCGGTTCCGGAACCGCCGGTTCCGGTACCGCCACCCCGAGTAACCGGATATTATACCGTGCCGGCCGGTTTCGTCCTCCCCCCCCTATTTTTTTTTTTTAAATTTTTAAATTATAAAATTGTAAATTTGCAATTGTTTAAGGAAAAAAAAGAAATAAAAAATCTAAAAATGTAGTTGTTATTTAAATATTGAAAATGAGTAATACACTAACTGAAGAACAACCACATTTAATATCCTGACGGTTCAAAAAAAGCGACGAGGTAAAGAACCGTAAAGAAACCCTCGAAGGAGCTTATATATCGCTCACCTAAAAAAATTAATTACATATTTACATTAACATAAAAAAAATTTATAACTTATTCTTCAAAACTCGAACTTCCATCTGTGGTTGCATTCATGTAATGCTCCGATTCGAGTTGGTACGATGACTCTTGAGCCCGACGTCTTGCCAAGAGCCAATCTTGGTTGCAAACCAGTGTTTCAAGAGATTCAGCGTTAAGACAACTTCGGTAGTCGGTTAGAATGTTGCCGCCAGCACTGAATTCTCGTTCAACTGCTACGGTTGATACTGGGAC